AAGGAGCAATCTTGGCAATTAACAACCTCAAGATGGCGGAGCGCACGTTTTCCCTCCGGTTTATGAATCCATGGCCCGGTCCATAGGGATGCCGAAGGAGTGTAGACCGTCGCTCGCTGGACTTGCTCCCTTTGAAGTCCGCCACCCGGTCAACACATCCACTGACATATGCCGAGGACGACTACAAGTACTATGGCCAGTATCTGTCCACAAGGGTACCTCGATGGCAACCTACTAACCAGAATCATGGAGACCAGCGATTAGGACTTGGACAAGTTTTTGAGACTAGCCACTTCCTCCTCACGTTACACAAGGACTTGCATGCTTTAGTTGGAATGCCATGGATTTGGCTACAGGTGACAGATTAAGGAGCAATCTTGGCAATTAATTACCTCAAGATGCGGAGAGCACGTTTTGCTCCCTCCGGTGTATGAATCCATGGCCCGGTCCATAGGGATGCCGAAGGAGTGTAGACCGTCGCTCGCTGGACTTGCTCCCTTTGAAATCCGCCACCCGATCAACACATCCACTGACATATATGCCGAGGACGACTACAAGTACTATGGCCAGTATCTGTCCGTAAGGGTACCTCGATGGCAACCTAGTAACCAGAATCATGGAGACCAGCGACTAGGACTTGGAATACTCATCGTGCCTCTTCGTGCTATCCTCTGTGAGCAACCTTTTTCTCGTATGAGTGCAACGTTAAGACGAAAAAGAATAGACGGGCCCCAGAAGTGTATTCAGACTCTCGTAGACCAGCCACGAGCCTTTATTTAGCCAATCATGTATGATGGGGACCCCATAGGTAAAATATCTAAGAGTGACTCTGGATCACAAACTGAACTTCAGTGAACATATTAGTTGATAAAGAGAGGAAAAATAATGATTAAGACTCTTTTCCCCCGTTTAAGCCGAGAATCATCTTTGAGCGTAGCAAATAAGTTATCTATTTATAAAGTGATAGTGAAACCAATACTATTGTACGCTTGTCCTTCTTGGAGCTACACAAGCATGACTAACATTAAAAGGTTACATACAAAACAAGTTTTTTAAGACTAGCCACTTCCTCCCCACGTTACACAAGGACTTGCATGCATTAGTTGGAATGCCATGGATTAGGGGAGTTGAAATACAGGACCCAAAAATTTCTTTCTCAAAAAGTCTACAGCGATAACTCCATATGTGCTTCGATCGGCACATATGATTGTCTAAAATCTTGGAAGCACAGGAGAATAAAACATATTTTATCCTCCTGAATTGTTATACTAGTCAGGGGAAAATTCGATTTAACATTAAAAGAGCTCATCCAAAGAGCACTAAACATGGTGGAACAATGGTGTTTAGAACGGGGACTTAAAGTAAACCCCTCAAAAACCACCTTAATTGCTTTCACCAAAAAAAAGAAATATAGAAATACAAGGATTAAGCTTCTATAACGAAATGCTGCTTTTAAAAAATAAGGTCAAATATCTAGGAATAATCTTTGATAAGAAATTAACCTGGAATCCTCACCTGCAACATACTGTAGCAAAAAGTAAAATATCGCTAATGACCACAAGAAGGACCTTAGGCAAATCTTGAGGATTAAAACCGAAAATGGCATATTAGCTTACAAGGCAGTAATAAGACCCAGAATAACCTATGGATCACTAATCTGGTGGAACAAAGCTCAACAAAAAGTAGCTACCCAAACATTAGGCAGCATACAAAGACTAACAAACCTATGTATCACAGGGGCGATAAGAACAACCCCCCCAAACGCACTAGAAACCTTGCTAAACCTACCTCCACTAGAAATATTCATACAAGGAGAGGCTAGGAAAAGCGTCATTTAGGCTTCAAAAACAATTAAATTGGAAAGGAACTAAACAATTTGGGCATACAACCATAATCAACAAAATCAGACACCCATTATTAAAAATGGGGACTACATGGTCCCAGAAACAATCTTCACAACTTCCTATAAAGTCTCAACAGACTATAAAGAGAGGAAGAACACAGGAGAGCATCAGATACAATGATATGGTACTCAGATGGCTCCAAAACAAACGAAGGAACCGGATCAGATATTTTCTGTACAAGCCCAAAATAGGAGCAATCAAACTCATTAGGGAAGTACATTTCGGTCTTTCAAGCGGAAATACATGCCATCAATGCTTGTGCCCTGGAAAATCTTAGAAGAGGTTACACTGACAAAAAAATCCTCATAAGATCAGACCGCCAAGCAGCCATTAAAGCATTAGCATGTAAAAGAATTACATCAAAACTAGTCAGTGAATGCATCCAAAATCTCCAAAACCTGGGAAAACACAACAACCTGATGATATCTTGGGTGCCAGGGCACAGGGGAATTTTGGGTAACGAGGAAGCAGACAAACTGGCCAGAGGAGGATCTGCAAAACCATACATAGGCCCCGAACCTATCCGGATAACAAAAACAAACATAGAATCCTGTATCGCAGAATGGATCCAAGCAAAACAAAAAGAGAAGTGGATAAACTCTAGCGGTGCTAGACATAGTAAACTTATGATGAAACAACCCTCACCAAGATTGGCAAAAATACTGCTGCAATTGGAGAGGGCAAAACTCAGGAGTGGTGGGACTACTAACTGGTCACTGTATCTGAGAAAACATCTACAAAACATGGGTATATACAGCGATGATCCCATTTGCAGATTATGTAATGAGGAGGAGGAAACAGCCACTCATATCATCTTCGAATGCGAAGCAACATCTCAATGGAGGTTCAACCTAAGGTACGGAAAAGACTTAGGGAATCAAATTGCAGCAACAACAGTCAATGACCTGATACTTCTAAGAAGAAGGATTGAGTCTATTGATTGAACTAAGGAACTAGGAAGGTACAATAAGCCAGAAGGCTGCAGTGCCTGGGGAATCCAAACCCCGCTTCCTAGTACCCTTTCCACCATACCATACCATATCCTCCTGAATCTTCTCGCTGTTTTGCCTTGTTTTATCTAAAATTCTTATTTATCAGCCACTTATGTAACTATCTGTTACTTAATAACTTATAAAATTATTTATCTACTACAATAATTTACAGATTTTTTTTCGGCCGGCTAGCTGCCTGGGCTATTGCCGGCACCTAACATTTCTTCCACCTCACGTTTTAAAAATTTATTTATTTTTATTTATTTATTTCATTTTTTTTAAGTTAGCTTTTCTGTAGGAAGTCTGGCGATCTTTCTGGTTGTGTTCTGGCACGTTATTTCTACATTTTTGGCCCTCCCACACGTGTTGAAAAGGCTCTGAAATTATCTCATTCTCTTACATTCAATCCTAGCCTAGCCTACTACTTGATACTCGAGAGTACTCGATATTCCTCTGAAGACCCGCCCTCGTTCACGCTAATAAATACATCCATACATTATATACAATTAATCTAAAATATTAACCTAGGTTGGTGGGTTTATGGAGTACTTGACATTCCACCATAGACCCACCCATGCATACACTACTATCGCACTAATAAATACATTCGCTCAAACAGTAACCAATCATTCTGTATTTACAAATAAAAAATGCGGAGCCACTGGCGCATTTAATATTATAACAGTGTTTCCGCCCATTCACTCTAAAAGATATTATAGCCTAATCCTAACCTAAATCGGTGGGTCTGTAACTCGATATTCCTGCACAACCCAGCCGTACACACTCACTTTCGCGCCAATAAATACATTCATTCTACCCAAAACACACAAAGAGATATCTATCCTAGTTTGGTGGGGCTGTGGTGTACTCGATATTCCGACCACTACCCACCCATACACTCACACATTCTCGCCAATAAATACACTCACTTTAGGAAGGGAAAACGAAACCACGTGTGGAGAAGCATTAAAGGCGACCATATGCATTTATTTGCTTCAGATATTCGATTACTTTCTTGCTGTTTTCATTGCTGTGTTATAAAACCTCTTTTAAACTCGAGGAAAGGTTCGGTTAGTAAATGCTTAACAATTTATTAATTTATTTAAACTGTTAATTTGTTAAATTGTCAATTTATTACTAATTTGGTAAACTAACTTATTTATTTAATTATTTAAACTAACTTATTTACTTATTTATTTTAAACTAAATATTTCACTGTTTATAGTTATTAGACCAACTTATTAAATTAATATCTATTTATTTTGCTGACATATGTATATATTATAACTGTTAGTTCTTGGTAAAATTATTAAGTAGTTTTTCCAGTTCTGGTTTTTCGTGAACATTTTCCCATCAACATCGACAAAAATATTTTACAGGAGGTATGATACATAAATGGAGATATGCTAAAGAGGACGCATAGGGCACCGCCACTTTCCCTCAAAAATTCATTTGTACGCAAATTATTTATTGTTAGAAAATGTCATGTCAAATAAATTTCATTTATTTACAATATTCAACATTTCGCCTTGAATTCACAATTCACTAATTTCGTGGTCCGCTTGACCAATTAATAACTTACAATTAATTAAGGTTTTCAATTGAGATAAAAAAATGAATTGAAAAATGGCAAAAAGGAGAGAAAATTCAAAAGATGTGGTTGAGGTGGGAAGTTAGTGTCCGAGTGGATCGAGGTCACGATAGCTCAGGTGGTAGAGCAGCGGCGTATCTAGCCGAAGATCGTGGGTTCGAATCCCGCTCGTGCCATTGACTTTTTTATCTCAACTGCAAATCTTAATTATAATGTATAATATTCAATTAATTAAGGTTTTAAGTTGAGATTAAAAAGTCAGTGTCACGAGCGGGATTCGAACCCACGAACTTCGGCTTGATACGCCGCTAATCTACCACTTGAGCTGTCGTGACTTCGATCCCCCGGGCACTAACTTCCCATCTCAACCTCACCTTTTTGAATTTTCCCTCCTTTTTGCCATTTTTCATAATATTAATTGATGAAACGGACCACGAAAAATAGTGAATGTAATGTATAATTAAAGAAAATAACTGTGCAGGATTGATTTCACGGATATACTTATTGTTCTAGTTACTTTCCGACCAGCGGGGCTGATACAGACCAACGGGACTCAATTTCAAACCAACTACACTTTGAAAAGAACTCCAGTCGTTAACCAGACCAACTCGCCGCCGCCACAGCGTTCCTGTCCGAACGGTGCAGGTTTCGTAAGGCCTCCTGTACAAAGGCAAGGGACCGTGCAGCCCCGAACGCCCGTTCCGCAGCAGGCCCAGACCATTGCTCAAACCGCGCAGCAATCGCCGATTCTGCAACGGCAACCGACGCCGCCCGTGCTGCAAACGGCTCCGCAAGCGGCTCCGAGAGCGCATCATCCTCTTATTCACCAAACGACGGTCATTAGAAGAAATTCACCGACAATCGCCCCTCCATTGATACAGCCGGTGGTCAAAATCGAACCCAAACAGACCAATAAGTAAGTATATTTTTATTCTTCTATCTGTACAATTATCAGATAAGAAAGTTGGGTTTTGACCCTTTTCGTTCATTTTGATCTGCCCGTCCTCGCCGTTTGAGTATGTCGAGTTTCATAAATCCTCTTGCTCCTTGAGTTGTTTTTAATTAAGCGAGAACAGGCGGACCAGAAATGTTCGTTTTTTATCAAAACTATTTTAGAAATAACTACTTTTACTTATCACAAGAAAACAACTTAATAGAAAGACCAACACAGCGAGAATAGACAAACTAAGATGATCAGTATCGACAAAATTACAATTTTTGTCAACTGACCAAGGTAAAATCTATGGGTTGACATAGAAAAAAAATACTATTTGTTAACTGTTTAAATTACAAGTCGGCAGTTGGTAAAGTAAATAATGGGATTGGCAGATCGCAGGGGGTTCATTAATTTCACCAAATAACGGGGTTTTGTGTCAAACACATGTTTAGAATGGGTTAATCGAGGTTAATTTGACCTCGGATGCTAGATGAACTGTAAATTCATACAGAATTCACCCATACAGTGAACATAAAAGATGTCTCGTAAGGAAAATACATTTTACATTCCTTTATTATATTAATATTTTATAAAAACGAACGAATTTTGCCTCTTCTTCAATTATAATTTTTGTAATTCATTCACCGGCGCCAATTTTAAAACTGACATAATTATCAAAGATTGCATAATGGAAAAAAATGCAATCAGCAATTTAAAAAAAAAAAATTAATTTTTTTCTTAAGCTGGACTTACAAGCGATACCCTTTACAGATAACAGACACGCTTCTTTATTCATTGCTAATATTGGCGATAATGACAGATAGTTCGGATTTTAACGAATGAGGAGACTTTTATCGCTCTCCCACATGTGCAGAATCTACAATTTTATTATTACGACCGATACACGTTTGTCCATGGATATTTCTGGATTATCTAGGTTTTATGCAAAATTTAGGTTATAAGTTATGAAACTGTCGTTTAAAATTTAAAACAATAAAGCGACATTTTATATGTATAGTATATCCAATTTCAAAAAGATTGATTCTTTAAAATCTTTAATTTTTTAATTTTTGTTCTAGTTGATTTCTTGTTGATTGTTTTCATCTGTTATGTAAAATTGCTTTAACTCAAGCACACGTAATCACACGTCTATAAATTATAACCTACATATAACATAGCATGGGTGCGTCGATGGCCGCAATGGTTTAGGCGTTGACACGATGCTCATCACTGTAACGTAAAGGTCCTGGGTTCGAATCCAACCGCCCTGTATTCAATTTAATTTTGAATTATTAATATAAACGGTTCCATTTTGTTTTTGAGCGAAAATAGTTGAAGAATAGGAAGATTGATCTGGCCAAGTATAACTGTCAGCTTTTTAGTTTCATGAAAGAAGTATGGTTCCTATGTTCTTGGTTCCTTTCTTTAGACTTCTTAAATATGAAATTTGCGTGTTTAGATTATTCTCTAATTTGTTGAAGTCGAGAGGAGCGGTCAAGAATGAGGAAGTTTAGAAAAACACCTTTTTCATTTTTTTCGCGATATTTCGGCCTTTATTCGGGTCATCTTCAGGGCATAAAGTGTGGTTGTATATCACAGGTTATTCGTAAAGGTCTTGGGTTCGAATCCAGCCGCCCTACATTCAATATAATTTTGAATTATTAATATAAACGGTTCCATTTTGTTTTTGAGCGAAAATAGTTGAAGATTGGGAAGATGATCTGGCCAAGTTTAACTGTCAGCTTTTTAGTTTCATGAAAGAAGTATGGTTCCTAAGTGTACGGGGTTCGTTTCTTTAGACTTCTTAAAATGAAATTTGCCTGAGTAGGTTATTCTTTAATTTGTTGAAGTCAAGAGGAGCGGTCAAGAATGAGGTAGTATAGAAAAACAACTTTTTCATTTTTTTCGCGACGTTTCGGCCTTTATTCGGGTCATCTTCAGGACATAAAGTATGGTTGTATCACATTTTCACACAAAAGTAATATGGCAACACAAAGAATAGCAAGTAGGGAGCGTCGGTGGCCGCAACGGTTTAGGCGTTGACACGACGCTCATCACTGAAAGGTAAAGGTCCCGGGTTCGAATCCAACCGCCCTGTATTCAATTTAATTTTGAATTATTAATATAAACGGTTCCATTTTGTTTTTGAGCGAAAATAGTTGAAGAATATGAAGATTGATCTGGCCAAGTATAACTGTCAGCTTTTTAGTTTCATGAAAGAAGTATGGTTCCTATGTTCGTAGTTCCTTTCTTTAGACTTCTTAAATATGAAATTTGCGTGTTTAGATTATTCTCTAATTTGTTGAAGTCGAGAGGAGCGGTCAAGAATGAGATAGTTTAGAAAAACAATTTTTCATTTTTTTCCCGACGTTTCGGCCTTTATTTGGGTCATCTTCAGGGCATAAAGTGTGGTTGTATATTACAACGTCTTCACACAACACCAATATGACCACAAAAATAACATCTAGGGCGCGTCGGTGGCCGCAACGGTTTAGGCCTTGACACGGCGCTCATCACTGTAAGGTAAAGGTCCTGGGTTCGAATCCAACCGCCCTGCATTCAATATAATTTTGAATTGTTAATATAAACGTTTCCATTTTGTTGTTGGGCGAAAAAAGTTGAAGAATATGAAGATTGATCTGGCCAAGTTTAGCTGTCAGCTTTTTAGTTTCATGAAAGACTTATGGTTCCTAAGTTCGTTTCTTTAGACTTCTTAAATATGAAATTTGCCTCAGTGGATTATTCTCTAATTTGTTGAAGTCGTGAGGAGCGGTGAAGAATGAGGTAGTTTAAAAAAAACCTTTTTCACTTTTTTCCTGACGTTTCGACCTTTATTCGGGTCGTCTTCAGGGCATAAAGTGTGGTTGCATCACATTTTCACACAAAAGTAATATGACACCACAACAATGGCACCTAGGGGACGTCGGTGGCCGCAACGGTAAGGTAAAGGTCCTGGGTTCGAATCCAGCGGCCGTGCATTCGAACCCGACATACAAATAGGCTTTTTTTCATTTTTCAAAAACACCGCCACCCTGTTGGTTTACCCCGGTTCTGCTGTTGCGCACCGTAAAACAAAATCATGATTGAGAGAGAAAGAGTGAGTGAGAGAGACAAACGAGACAAAGGGAAAAGCAAAAAAAAAATACGAGGCAAAAAGAAAGGAAATAGAGAATGAATGAATACCTTTTAAAAGCTGCAGGATAAAAGGGAATGAAATAGGACAGAAGAGAGAGTGAGAAAGAGAGTAGTAGATATAGGAAGCAAAAAGATCGAATTTACCACGCTAATGGTTCTGGGATCGAGTCCCGTCAGAGTCCATAGTTTTGTAATGACTGCTCGTTAGGGACAACTCAACATTAGACGTCAACCCTCCTGTATGACAATAATTACCTTAATTTTAACTTTATATCCAAATTTTGTTTTTTCTTTCCCTAGCTATACCCGATTATTAATCGTCTAAACCCATCTCACTGCTAAAAATTCAATATTCCTTCGGAAAAACAGTGAAACTTGCCGTGAGATGTGTAACAAAATTTTACGTTTAATTGTAGATTGCCAACGGTTATCTATTTGACTGAATTATCAATTGAAATACAAATCTAATTCCGCGCTTGTTTGTTTATTGAGGGAAAAAACCTCAACTTTCTATTACAACCGGTCAGATAACCCTGGGGAAAGGGACATGTTTTTAACAAGTGAGTTATTATCGAATCCGATCGTGTTCCATTAAATAAAAGTACAAACGGATGATAACAAATATATTCTCACTATAACGATGAAAATAGATTATCGACCTGCTGGATACAAGAAGTTCTTTTCAGAGGAACTTTTCCGAAGATCCTCTGAAAAGAACTTCTCATATTCTCACTATCTAAAATAGCAAAATCTATATATTTATTATATTTGTAAAAATTTAACGTTCATTAATACTGTGTAGTGATTGTAATTTTCTTGTCTATATGTATTGGGTGATTTGGCAGTTTTTTCTTATGTGTAACAAATAACATAATTTTGAAGATATTTAGAGTCAAGGGTGGCAACTGAAGATTTAATAGAGTAGGTAACTAGCAAAAGAGAGAAAAAAATCATCTGGATATTTCAATACATACAACATAATTTTTGACTGTATTCAAAAATTAAAATTACAGGAGCATATATGATGTTTTAAAAACAGAAAAACTTCAAAGAATTACAGATTAATAAACTTTCCTTTGACTCGATGGACAAGGTAAGAACAACATGTTTGAACATTTATTGTAGGCATGTTACAACATATATTTTTCAACTAGTTTACCAATTCTTTTAAGTCAACCAGCTAAATCGTTTAAATTTCTAAAACGTTTTTGTTCGAAGGATCAATTTTTTTAGTATTAAAATTACGAAGGATATGATGAAGAAAAATAGCAAAAACAGTTAAAATGACAAGTATTATTTTATTAACCAACTTGCACAATTTAAATATTTTAACTGCATTTGGGTCAAAGGAAAAAAAATTGTAAACCTTTCAATTAAAATAAGAACATTTTTGGAGAGGAGACCTCGCCAGCGGGTACAGATCGTTTTCTTGGATACCTCGGAGCTATATATATATTTCATCTATACAGTGTTTATGTTGTTTCTGTGTTAATTTATTATAATTAATGTAATTTATTAAAGTGGAAGGAAGTGGTTGTTTAAACCCGCCCTGAGAAATATCGAGTACACTGGAATGAGTGTGGGACGTCGGAAGAGGAAAAGTAGGTTATTAGTGAGAATGGAGTGGGTTAGACCACGCCCCGGTGAATATGAGTAATCTGGGGTGAGTTTGTATTGTCTGGAAAGTAAAAGTAAGTTATTATTGAGAATGGAGTGAGTTCGACCCCGGCCCGAGGAATATCGAGTAGTATCGGGGGAGTAAATGTGACCAGGCATCTATGATAATTTAAAGGAATGAATGTAATTTATTAGCGCGAAAGGAAGGGGTTGTTTAACCCCACTCCGAGGAATATGGAGTTTTCTGAGATGTGTATACGGCTTCTGGACAGAAGTAATTATCAGCGAGAATTCACTAATTTCGTGGTCCGCTTGACCAATTAAATCATTACAATTAATTAAGGTTTTTAGTTGAGATGAAAAAAAGTTAATAGCACGCGCGGGATTCGAACCCACGATCTTCGGCTAGATACGCCGCTGCTCTACCACTTGAGCTATCGTGACCTCGATCCACTCGGACATCAACTTCCTATCTCAACCCCACCTTATGAGTTTTCCCTCCTTTTTGCCATTTTTCGAATCCCGCTCGTGCCATTAACCTTTTTTTCATTTCAACTAAAAACCTTAATTAATTGTAATTAGCGAGAATGAAATAGGTTCTACCCCGCCCTTACGAATATCGTGTTCACTGGGGGAGTGAATATAACCAGACTTCTATTTTACGTGGGTTGTTGTGGTTATGTAAATTTATTAGAATGAATCTATTAGCGTGAAAGGAAGTGGTTGTTTAAATCCGCCCGAGAAATATCGAGTACACTGAAGTGATTGTGTGACGTTGGAAGAGGAAAAATAGGTTATTAGTGAGAATGGAGTGGATCCGCCCAGCCACAAGTAATACCGAGTACTCTGGAGTGAGTGTGTGACGTCTGGAAATAAAAGTAATTTATTAGCGAGAATGGAGCAGGTTCGACCCTGCCCCGAGGAATATCGAGTAGTATCGTGGGCGTAAATGTGACCAGGCATCTATGTTAATTTATTGGAATGAATGTAATTTACTAGCGCGAAAGGAAAAGTTGATTAACCCCACCACGAGGAATATGGAGTACTCTGATATGAGTATATGACTTCGAGACCGTAAAAGTAATTATTAGCGAGAATGAAATAAGTTTTGCCTGGCCTTTACGGATATTGGGTATTCTGGGAGAGTCAATATAACCAGACTTCTATGTTAGTATCGAGTGTCGTGTTTATGTGAATTTATTGGAAAGAAAATAATTTATTAGCGTGAAAGGAAAAGTTGTTTAACCCCATATCGAGGAATATGGAGTACTCTGAGATGAGTATGTGACTTCTTGACAGTAAAAGTAATTATTAGCGAGAATGAAATAGGTTCTACCCCGCCATACGAATATCGTGTACACTGGGGGAATGAATATAACCAGACTTCTATTTTGCATGAGTTGTTGTGGTTATGTAAATTTATTAGAATGAATCTAATTTATTAGCGTGAAAGGAAGTAGTTGTTTAAATACAATCAAGTGATTGTGTGACGTTAGAAGAGGAAAAGTAGGTTATTAGTGAGAATAGAGGTCCGCCCCGCCCCAAGGAATATCGAGTACTTTGGAGTGAGTGTGTGACGTCTGGAGATGAAAAGTAAGTCGTGAAAAGGGAGAGGGTTAGACCACGTCTCGGTGAATATGAGTACTCTGAGGTTAGTGTGTGATGTCTGGAAAGTAAAAGTAATTTATTAGCGAGAATGGAGCGGGTTCGACTCTGCCCCGAGGAATATCGAGTAGTATCGTGGGCGTAAATGTGACCAGGCATCTATGTTAATTTATTGGAATGAATGTAATTTACTAGCGCGAAAGGAAAAGTTGATTAACCCCACCACGAGGAATATGGAGTACTCTGATATGAGTATATGACTTCGAGACCGTAAAAGTAATTATTAGCGAGGATGAAATAAGTTTTGCCTGGACTTTACGGATATTGGGTATTCTGGGAGAGTCAATACAACCAGACTTCTATGTTAGTATCGAGTGTTGTGTTTATGTTAATTTATTGGAAAGAAAGTAATTTATTAGCGTGAAAGGAAAAGTTGTTCAACCCCACCCCGAGGAATATCGAGAACTCTGAGATGAGTATGTGACTTCTGGTCAGTAAAAGTAATTATTAGCGAGAATGAAATAGGTTCTACCCCGCCAATACATCTAGTACTCTGGAGACGTGAATATACCCAGACTTCTATGTTTCTATCGAGTGCTGAGTTTATGTTTTTGCTTTATTAGCGTGAAAGGAAGGGGTTGTTTAACCCCACTCCGAGGAATATGGAGAACTCTGAGATGAGTTTGTGCCTTCTGAACAGTAAAAGTAATTATTAGCGAGAATGAAAGCCCTCACGCATATCCCGTATGCTGGGAGATGAATAGACGTCTATGTTTTTATCGGCTGTTGTGTTTATATTAATTTATTGTAATGTATGTAACTTATTTGCGTGAAACGAAAGGGTTGTTCAACCCCACCCCGAGGAATATGGAGTACTCTGAGATGACTATGTGACTTCTCGACAGTAAAAGTAATTATTAGCGAGAATAAAATAGGTTCTACCCCAACCTTACATCTAGTACTCTGGAGACGTGAATGTAACCAGACTTCTATGTTTGTATCGGTATTGTGTTTATGTTAATTTATTGGAATGTATGTAATTTATTAGCGTGAAAGGAAGAGGTTGTTTTACCCCACCCCGAGGAATATGGAGTAATCTGAGATGTGTATTGCTTCTGGACAGAAAATGTAATTATTAGCGAGAATATAATAGGTTCTACCTCGCTCCGAGGAATATCCAGTGCTCTCGAAGATGAAAATGACTAGACTTCTATGCTTGTATAGGGTTGAGATGTACATATAAGTATTTTATGTCTTGTGTCTATTCTGGAGTTGTCAACCTGAGGTAGAATTGTAGGATATCGAATTAGTTTTCGTACAAAAGCAGACACTCAGTAACCACAAGATGGTCGAATAGGTGTAGGCTGAAAAATACGCCTGAAAGACCAGAAATAGAAGGAAAACACGCAGAAAAGACGGCAACTCGCTGTTTGTAATGCTGTTAAATCTTTCCCCATTATTATTAATATTATTATTTTAGAATAAGTAGTACAGAATAAAAAATCAGCTAGAACAATTAGATCAACTATTTAAACTATAACTGATGTTAACTAATGTGAAAATGCCGGAAATTTAGCAAAATACTGTAAGTAAAATAGGAACAATTGATCAAAAGCATTTAAGCACAGAGAATCAATTAAATTTTAAACAAGAAAAATGCCGTCAGGACAATGAAATAAATATCAAAAAATACAATTTCTATCGAAAGAAAGACTATTTCAAGGAAGGATTTTTTTCTGGAAAATTTTCAATTTACGATTATCGTGTTATTTATTGAAATAAAAAAGTCATTGTCACGAGCGGGATTCGAAGTTACTACAGCTCAAGTGGTAGAGCAGCGGCGTATTTAGCCGAAGGTCGTGGGTTCGAATCCCGCTCGTCACACTGGCTTTTTTATCTCCACCAAAGCCTTAATTAATTGGAAAAAATATATTTAAAAAATTGTTTACGTTGTGTGCGTGTGTTTATTTGTTATTTTGTTATTTAAAATGTATGATGATTTTTAATTCTAATAATACTAATTATCATAATGAATTGAAATTTGTACAATATAATTCTCCTTGAGGATGAAACATGAAAACGACATCAAATCAAATGAATTTTGTGTGAGAGAAGATTTGGTTCTTCCTGAATATCCGATACAATGAGAACTTTTATTCTTTGGTTTCTTTATCTTCAAAAGAGCAAAAGATAACTAAAATCAATAGTAATTTTGCCTAAGCGTTTCCTCTGGTTACAGAAGTTTTCCACCTGCCATGTAACAACGGTGTTAACGATTTCTTTTCAATTCTATTCTTTTTCGCCCTCGTGCATTGATATATCGATTCTGCCGGCTTTATCGTCCGGCGTCTTTCCTCCACCTGGTCCGATTTCATTTCCACTCATGCCTTTCAGGAATCCAGAGCCGAAATCGGCGGAGGTGCCGCCAGATAAGAAGGAAGGAAAAGGGGAAGAGAACGTCGAAGTGCAACCGGAGAAGAAGACAGTGCCGGATTTCAAAAACCAAAAAGAAAAAGAATGCTGGGACCTGTTCAAGAAAATGTCAGACAGAGGTGTGCCCGTGTCGTTTGAAACCGTTCTAAGGTGAGTAAAAAATCTTAACGACAATTTAAATTCAAAAATGTTCAAAATTTCCCAACAAAAGAAAGAATATTTCCTTCGAAGAAATAATATAACTAATTTTCAAAAATATAAAATAATAATTTACAAATAATAATACGAAATGAAATAATAATATTAAACATTATGAAAACAATAAAGAGATCATTTTGAGTTATAATATTTATAATGTTTATGACCTGAAACAAACAGAATGTTCAAAAATATTGTTTGTGGAGGCATCAATTTATTAAAAAGGCCAATACTCACCAATTAATCCATATATTCACCAATTGGTCTTGTGTTTGTTTGTTTTATGAAATTGAAATTATATGAATTAAAGTTGTAAATAATTACTACGAGAGAAATGGAAAGTTATCTGTTGTCCCAGTATCCCGAAAACTCGTAATCTGTGACAATATGTTTATTATCATTTAGAATTTCCGTTAATAATCAATATTGGTAAACATATTTACCATTAGATAAATATTTACATGCGCTGGAGAGAAAAATGTAAACTCACTTTATCTATTAACAAATAAAAATATTAAATTTTACTATTATTATATGCCTAAATTATTTTTTATAAGGTTTAGAAAATTCTGTTCGAAACATGGTCCCATTCCAGACTTAATGAAGATGTCTTAATTGAAATTACTCCAATATGTAGTTCAAAGAAGCTGTGACTTGAAAATAGTCCTAACTGTTTAAATAAACTACTGCATTATTATTTTATACAACGATAATAAAATCCATTTTTACAGAGAAAATAACTTTTTGTTATATACTAAATAACTTTTTTCTTTTGTTTTTTGGAGGGTATATGGCATATCGATTCAGTTTGCGTACAATAATGTTTGTAAGCAGAACCATGTGGCATTTTATTTTTAAGCTGCCTATTTTATTGCAAAACTAAGCATTGTCCAAACATAATTTTTCAGGTAAAATTAGCTGGTGCTATTAGAATTTTAATTACTGGGGGCGTTAAACTGACTTGGCGATCAACTTTTTATTTTATCAAATGTAATGACTTTTTTTGACAAGTGCAGTTTACAATGAAAATTGGTAATTTTTTTGACAAATCGTAACACAATTACAGTACCAAAGGGGAGACATTGATTTGTTTTTCATAACTCGATAATTTCGATTTATCGTTTAATTGGATAATAAATGGGGAAAATTGAAATTTTAATTTAATTAAATATGAAAATTTCATTTGTGTTGATTTTCTTTAACCCTAAATTTAAACAACAACAATCAGTTCAACGAGGAATGAAATTAGCGAGTTACGAAAAAAAAGATTTCCACTGATTTTTCGATGACATTTTGAAGTGAATTTTTTTTTTTTTTTTTACATGTGCAGTTTACAATGAAAATTGGTAATTTTTTTGGCAAATCGTAACACAATTATAGTACCAAAGGAAGATATTGATTTTTTTTCCATAACTTGATAATTTCGATTTAGTAGTTTAATTGGATCATAAATGGTGAAAATTGAAATTTTAATTTAATTAAATATGAAAATTTCATTTGTGTTGATATTCTTTAATACGAATTTAAACAACAACAATCAGTTCAACGATGAATGGAAATTATCGAGTGACGAAAAAAAAGATTCCCACTGATTTTTCGATAAAGTTTTACGATGATTTTTTTCACACTTTTTTTTTTTTTTTTGACAAGTGCAGTTTACAATGAAAATTGATCATTCTTTTTGACAAATCATAACACACTTATAGTACTTAAGAGGAGATATTAATTTTTTTTCATAACTCGATAATTTCCATTCATATTGAACTGATTGTTGAAGTTTAAATTTGGCTAAAAGAAAATCAATAAAAAAAAAGATTTCCATTGATTTTTCGATGAAGTTTTAGGATGATTGGTAATTTTTTTTGACAAATCAAATAAATAAAATATGAAAATTTCATTTGTTTTGATTATCTTTAAACCAAATTTAAACAACAACAATCAGTTCAACGATGAATGGAAATTTTCGAGTTATGAAAAAAATATATTTCCACCGATTTTTCGATGAATTTTTAGGGTTTTTTTTGACATGTGCAGTTTATAATGAAAATTGGTAATTTTTTTGACAAATCGTAACACAATTATAGTACCAAAGGGGAGATATTGATTTTTTCATAACTCGATAATTTCGATTTATCGTTTAATTGGATAATAAATGGTGAAAATTGAAATTTTAATTTAATTAAATATGAAAATTTCATTTCTGTTGATATTCTTTAAGGCAAATATAAACAACAATAATCAGTTCACCGATGAATGGAAATTAACGAACTATGAAAAAAAAGATTTCCATTGATTTTTCGATGAAGTTTTAGAATAATTTTTTTTCACTCTTTTTTTTGACATGTGTAATTTACAATGAAAATTGGTAATTTTTTTGACAGATCATAACACAATTATAGTACCAAAAGGGAGAAAGTGATTTTTTTATTCAACGATGATTGGAAATTATCGAGTTATGAAAAAAAATATTTCCACTGATTTTTCGATGAATTTTTACGATGATTTTTTTCTTCACTTTTTTTGACATGTGCAGTTTACAATGAAAATTGGAAATTTTTTGAAATCGTAACACAATTATAGTACCAAAGGGGAGATATTGATTTTTTCCATAACTCGATAATTTCCATTTATCGTTTATAATTTTCCATTTATCGATGATAAATGGTGAAAATTGAAATTTTAATTTAATTAAATATGAAAATTTCATTTGTGTTGATATTCTTTAAGACAAATTTAAACAACAACAATCAATCAGTTCAACGATGAATGGAAATTATCGAGTTACGAAAAAAAATTCCACTTATTTTTTTTTAAGATGGTTTTTTCACACATTTCACATCGAACTCGATAATTTCAATTTTCATATAACAAATAGTTTTTATTTAAAATTCAATTTAAAAAATCAGTACAAAATATACTTTCATATTTTATTAACTTTTATTACTTTAACCAGTTATATAATAAACTGAAATTATCGACTTCTGAAAAAAAACTTCAATATCTTCAGAACAAATTGATGAATTTTTGAGTTTCTGATATTTTTTAGAATGAAAATTTTTCGTATGCCCAAGTTTTTGCACAAAACTTGAGTTACTGCTCTGGATATCTCTTGTATAATTACTGCTTAATAATGTCAATTAATTAATTCGCTTCAGATCAATTTTTCTGTATTTTTTTGTACCTGGAAAATTTTCTCGTCAGCAAAAAAGGTTAAATATATTAAATAATTAAATATTTTTTATTAATCTTGTAAATTTAAATCTTTTACAAAAGTGTGTGGTGATTAGTGACCGTTAATCGATAATTATTCAGAAATCGTGAAATGCGGTCTGGTGTGATGTAGGTTTCAGAAGAACATTTTCTTCATCGTACCAACGTTTCGATCTTTATTGAGATCATCTTCAGGGCCTGGGATTTAAAAACATTGTTTACATTTAACAAATACATTTAGGATGTGGAAAAGTGAATTTATGCAATGCAAAAATATTCAATCCACATCCTAAATGTATTTGTTAAATGTAAACAATGTTTATAAATCCCAGGACCTGAAGATGATCTCAATAAAGATCGAAACGTTGGTACGATGAAGAAAATGTTTTTCTGAAACCTACATCACACCAGACCGCATCTCACGATTTCTGAATAATTCCACAAAAGTGTGTAGTTTTCAATAAACGAAAATTCAAGTTCCTGGATCATATTTTATCCTCACGTTATAAAAGTCAATTTTTTTTGTCAATTACGAATAAAACCATTTAAAAAAACTTATTATTAGAATAAAAAAGAATCAACAGCATGCTTGTTAATAAATTATGTACGAGATAAAATGCCAGGGTGTTTGAACAAAAAGCAAAAGGGCAACAATAACCGAAAAGCAACACTAATTAAATTCATTAGCGGAACATGAACCCGGTTTCGTGCTCCATCTATTAGGAAAACGCTAATTTCAACTTGATAAATTGCCAGTCCATTACATTTCTAGTGAATGCACCCTGGCCTCTCAATGTGAAACGCATTATGAGGTTTCACGCTTACATCGCGTGACCAAACGGGCCCCTTGCACTTGGACGTTCGTCTACAGCTTAAATAAGGAAAACATGCTAAGTAATCAAATGAGCCTTAATCATATTTACTTGTGTTACCGGGACGTATTATTATGATTTATTCATTCTTTACTTTTTACCTGCGTAAAATAACAGATTATATATTTTCAGTGGAGACAAGCAGATAATTTTTTGCCTTGCCACTGTTTTACCATTTGTGGCAGAAATATTCGTACATCCAAAAGAATGAAGAACATTAGAAGATAATGTTTTAAAATGAATCGTTCTTTTTTTGCCATTCATCGTTGTTCTGGTATTTTCCTTGTTTCTTTCAAATTTCACAGGGATTTTTTTATTATAAATTTTTATTCATAACTTCATTTTTTTACAATTATTAAAACCTAAATTTAAAAGATTCAAAACAATAGAAGAAGCTAGGAAAAGAAAGCAATTTTTCCCCAAATAGTAACCACTTTAAAGAAAAATGAAATATATAATAAAGAAAATTAATTTTAACTCAATCGATCAAAGGTATTTTTGAAGCTTGAAATTTTTGGTTTTTCAATTTGCAATCATCCATACGATAGCAGACCTGTTCGCTAATTCAGTATCTGCAGTTAAAATTAGTAATATGGTCTTAAAAGTGCCCCTGTTGAGTCCGTCGTTAGACAGGGATGCGTCCTAAGCCTCTCTCTTTTTATAAATGACTTTCCTGATTTCCTAGACTTTGGTATTCGCTGCTCCGTTATAATCAAATATCTTCTCTATTCTGACGATGCACTCATCCTGGCTTGCACTCCTGCAAAATTATTGCTTTCAACGGAACTTTTTTAATATTTAAAAAGAAATCATGGCTTTTCATATGAGAAACAGCTGGCGAGTAAACATCACTGATTCTTCTAGGGCAAA